CCCCCACCCCCCTCTGAGTTTCCACTTTATGCATTTTTCAAATTTGCGTTGGGGGCGGAGTTATCCTTTCACAGGGGGGTAAGTTGCACTTTAATGACTATTTGTTAGGGCTGAATATCCCAGTTGTTATCAGAGGGCTGAGTCAAGCTCACAGTATGGTTAATGGTAAATGGGGTTGGGTAAAATCCATGTGAGCAGGGGCCTCATAAGTGGGCCCATTACTCTCCCCAAAAGAGACACTGAGCTTTTAATCAAATTTTGTGTCCCTTGGATGAAGGACACCAGGTTACAAACACTCAGTGTTCTAACCTTCTCAGGATCTATAAAAGGTTCTCCAAGAATTCTTTCTCTTTGACTACTCAGGGCCAAACATTGGCCCAAGTAGTGCACAGAGGTCTCTAATTCAATGCCACAGGCATCGCACAGACCATTTTCACTTGAGCAAGTTGTGCCCAGTTAGGACTCCAACCAGAGTACTTAAAGTTGTCCTTGTCGAGGCAAGAAGGGCTTTTCCAAATCAAGGATTTGGGCCATTTATCAGTTCTCGAAGCCCAAATCCTTGGCTCACAGTAACAGCATTGTAAGAGGGGGATAGTTGGACATGGAAGCCTGTTTATATCGAAGAAGTAGCCCTTCGTGTTACTCGGTGCCCCAAAAGTAGCTCTCAGTCTCAAAAAGTTTGGTGACCCCTGGCATACACAACATGTTCATAATGCTGAGCTTACCTACAACTCATCAGATTAAAGATGTTGCTTGGAGAAGAGGTAAAATGTTCAGTGACTTTTGGTAGATGCTGGTTTAGTGCCAGGGGCTGGATAATGAAGACAATGGTTAAGTGGAGAAAATAAGAGATTTGGGCATGGTGAGTGTTGGATACTGGTCTTGACAGGTTTTTCATATTGTCAGTGAAATCCAGGAGGGCAGAGTCTGGGCTGAGTGGAGAGGTGGGCGGAGTCTCCGGGGGAAGACGATTTGAGGTCCTGTGTTGAAATGGGGTGTCCACTTATTTTCTTGTTGGAGTCTGGGGTAATTCTACTCGTTAAAGTGATGCAGTACCTGAATGTTGTTCATAACATGTATTCTAAGTGCTCTCATTTTTGAGATCTCACGTTATTACAGAAAGTGCATAAACAACATGTTCAAGGTTTGACCAAAACAACTTCAAGTCTGACATTTCTCAACATCAGATTGTTTTAATCTAAAGCTCATGACGGTCGCAGGTGATAGACATTCCTTCAAGGAACGCTGGGCCTTCTCAGGCTGTGCACCAGAGCTTGCATCTCTCAGATTATACAAGTCTTTTCATGCAGCTCTTCTCCAGATATCAAGAATCCATCAACAGTTTCAGATCATTACCACAACATCTGGAAGCATGACGGCTTAGTGGTTCGCACTGTTCCCTTACAGCATAAGGACCTTGGGTTCAAGCCTTAGGTTGAGCCTGGGTCCATCTGTGTGGAGTTTGAATGTTTTTCCTTTGTGTTTGCATGGGTTCTCTCCAACACAGTCCAGAAACGTGTGTTTAGGTTGCCTACAAGCCCAGGCCTCCCTGCCTGCTTTTAAAACAGCCATGATTAAGAGCAGTGTACATTTCTAAACACAAGTTTTTCACTTTAGGCTGTGTGCAGGGATGGATTTTCTCTTCTCAGAAAACCTCTCTGCATCAAGAGGGCCTGACAAACCAAAATATTCAAATGTGGCAAAGCGATATGCAAATCTAGCCATGACACATTTCACAAACCCACAGCTCATTGTCAAACATAACTTCAAATCACTTTGCTGGCAATATACCAATACCC